ACACACTGAGGCAAGAGGTGGGTTCCCATGGTCTTGGGGAACTCTGTCCCTGTGGCTTTGCAGGGTACAGCCTTCCTCGTGGCTGCTTTCATGGGCTAGCATTGAGTGTCTATGACTTTTCCAGGCATACGGTGCAAGCTGTTAGTGGATGTATCATTCTGTGGTCAGAAGGATGGTGGCCCTCTTCTCACAGCTCCATTAGACAGTGCCCCAGTAGGGACTCTGTGTAGGGACTCCACACCCCACATTTCCCTTCTGCACTGCCCTAGCAGAGATTCTCCATGAGGGCCTCATCCCTGAAGCAAACTTTTGCCTGGGCATCCAGGCATTTCTACGCATCTTCTGAAATCTAGGCAAAGGTTCTCAAACCTCAATTCTTAACTCCTTGACTTCCACATAGGGACTCCACACCCCAGTAGGGACTCCAATCCCACATTTCTCTTCCACACTGTCCTAGCAGAGGTTCTCCATGAGGGCCTTGCCCCTGCAGCAAACTTTTGCCTGGGCATCCAGGCATTTCTATACATCTTCTGAAATCTAGGCAGAGGTTCCCAAACCTCAATTCTTTGCTTCTGTGTACCTGCAGGCTCAACACCACGTGAAAGCTGCCAAGGCTTGGGGCTTCCACCCTCTGAAGTCACAGCCCAAGCTCTATGTTGGCCCCTTTCAGCCATGGCTGGAGCATCTGGGACACGGCACCAAGTCCCTAGGCGGCACACAGCACAGGGACCCTGGGCCCAGACCATGACACCATATTTTGCTACTAGGCCTCTGGGCCTGTGATGGGAGGGGCTGACATGGCCTGGAGACATTTTCCCCATGGTCTTGGGGATTAACATTAGGCTCCTTGCTACTTGTGCAAATTTCTGCAGCTGGCTTGAATTTCTCCTCCAAAAATGGGTGTTTCTTTTCTACTGCTTTGTCAGGCTGCAAATTTTCTGAACTTTTATGCTGTTTCCCTTTTAAAATGGAATTCTTTTAACAGCACCCAAGTCACCTTTTGAATGCTTTGCTGCTTAGAAATTTCTTCCACCAGATACCCTAAATCATCTCTCTCAAGTTCAAAGTTTCACAAATCTCTAGGGCAGGGGAGAAATGCCACTACTCTCTTTGCTAAAACATAACAAGAGTCACCTTTGCTCCAGTTCTCAATAAGTTCCTCATCTCCATCTGAGACCACCTCAACCTGGACCTTATTGTTCATATCACTATCAGCATTTTTGTCAAAGCCATTCAACAAGTCTCTAGGAGGTTCCAAACTTTCCCACATTTTCTTGTCTTCTTCTGAGCCCTCCAAACTGTTCCAGCCTCTGCCTGTTACCCAGTTCCAAAGTAACTTCTACATTTGTGGGTACCTTTTCAGCAATGCCCCACTTCCAGTACCAATTTTCTGTATTAGTTTGTTTGCACACTGCTGTTAAAGACATACCCAAAACTGGGAACAACAACAAAAAAGTTTTAATTGGACTTACAGTTTCACATGGATAGGGAAGCCTCAGAATCATGGTGGGAGGTGAAAGGCTCTTCTTACATGGTGGTGGTAAGAGAAAATGAGGAAGAAGCAAAAGCAGAAACCCCTGATAAACCCACATTAGATCTTGTGAGACTTATTCATTGTCATGAGAATAGCACGGGAAAGACCGGCCCCTATGATTCAATTACCTCTCCCTGGGTCCCTCCCACAACATGTGGGAATTCTGGGAAATACAATTCAGGTTGAGATTTGGGTGGGGCACAGCCAAATCATATCAGTATCCATAGACTGAAAAAAAAGACCTCAGCCTCTACCTCAAATTTCATACAGAAATTCACTCAAAATTGATTGTGGAAGGAAATGTAAAATGTAAAAATATAAAAATGTTAGGAATTTTAAAACAGGAGAAAATCCTAAGGCTCTCTGGATAGACAAAGACAACATCAAAAAGAATGATCCATGAAAGAATAAATTTCTAAATTTGACCTCATCAAAATTAAAACCTTTTCTCATTGAAAGACTCTGTTAACGTCAAAACATCATGTTGTATGCTGTAAATTTTTATTTGTCAGTAATACCTCAATAAAGAAAAAAATAAGTAAGCTTAGCAAAAGATCAACATAATAGTAAATGGCTACTTGCTTTATCAATTTTTTGAGGAAAATATTTAGTTGACTAACTACTGAGCTGGGTTCAAACTCAATCCACTATTAGATTCACTGATACTTCATTATTTATTAATTATTAAACAGGAAAATTTTAATTTATTGTGTTATATGGTTAATTTTTCAATTAGTCCATTTGCTCTGAATACAATTCTGAAATCCTTTAGCTGATAATTTTGAAAATAACAAAAAATACAAATGTGAAAAAATTTATGTGTATAGATGTAAGTCCAAGAATGGCTAAAATAATCCTAACAAAGAAGATTAAAATGGAAGGAATCACTCTGCCCTATAATAAGGCTTATGCTATAGCTACTGTAATCACAATAGTATGGTGTTGGCAAAGGGACAACCATATATAACAATGGAACAGAATAGACAATTTAGATAACATACAAATATGCCCAACTGTTTTCTCACAAAATACAAAAGCAATTCCATGGAGGAAGGATAGCCTTTTCAACAAATAGTATTAAAGCTATTGGACATCCATAGACCAAAACAGACAGACAAAACAAAACAAAACAAAACAAAACAAAAAAAAATGCTCTCAACCTAAACCTCAAAATGTATAAAATTATCTCAAAATTGATTGTAGACTGAATTGTAAAATGCAAACATTTTCAGTAAAAAATAAAAGTAGAAAATCTTCGGGTCTCAGGCTAGGAAAAGACTTGACAGCAAAAGCATGATTCGTGAAGCAAATAATTTTCTAAATTGAACCTCATCAAAATTAAAACGTTTTCATGGTGAAAAGACAAGAGTTTGAAAAGACAAGCTATAGAGTGGCAGCAAATATTTGCTGACCACCTATCTGACAAAGAACTAGTATGTAAAATATATAAAGAACTTTCAAAACTCAAAAGTAATAAGCAATAAGCAATCCATTTAGAAAAGTTAAAAACAGATATTTTATGGAAGGGGATATATACATAGCAAATAAGCACATAAAAAGGTGTGCAGCATCATTAGTCATTAAGGAAGTGCAAAATAAAACCACAATGAGGTATGACTCCACACCCATCAGAATGGTAAAATGAAAAATAATGGCAATACCAAATGTCAGGAAAGATGCAGAGAAACTGGATTATTCTCTCATCACTGGCAGAAATATGAAATGATACAGACACTCTGGAAAGCAGTTTGATACCCTCTTATAATACCCAACATGAACTTGCCATATGATCCAGCAATTGCACTCTGGGGTGTTTATCACATGTAAATGAAAACTCATGTTCACGCAAAAACCTGCACACAAATGTTCATGGCAGCTTTTTTCATAATTGCCAAGAATTTGAAACATCCCAGATGTCCTCCAATGGGGGAATGGTTAGACAAACTGTGGTATATGTGATATTACTCTTATGTGGTATATGTGGTATAATCAAAGCAGTGAACTACTAATATGCACGAAAACGTGGATGAATCTCTAAGGAATTATGTTGAGTGAAAAAGCCAAAGCCAAAAGGCATTATTCCATTTATATCACATACTGAAATGACAAAACTTTAGAGATGGAGCACAACTAATGATTGCCAGAGTTGGGGACAGAGTGGCAGGGGAAGAAATGTGAAAAAAGTTGGGTGGTTATAAGAGAACAACATAAAGGATCCTTGTGGTGATAGATCTGTTCAGTATCTCTAACGTGGTGCAGATATACAAGTTTATAAGTGATAAAATAGTATAGATCCGAATGCAGACATACATATAGACAGACACACAGAGAGATGAGTATAAGAGGGGAAATGTGAATAAAATCAGTCAACCACATCAATGTCAGCACCCTGGTTTTGATATAATATTAGACTTTTGCAAAATGTTACCACTGAGAAGACTGGGTAAAGGATCCTAGGAAACCTCTCTGCAATTTTTCTTACGACTACATGTGAATCTATAATGATCTCAATAAAAACGTCAATTTAATAAAGATATTAGACAATATCATACTGAATCTTGAATCCTAGTCAAGGAGTTTGAACTCTTTTCAATAGCTAGTTGAGACCCATAGAGGCTGGTTGAGTATAGATGACTTGATTAAGAGCTATGGATCAAAAGAACCAATATGATGGCAGTGAGTGTGATGAATTAAAGGAGACGTTACTAAAGGCAGTGGCTCAAAAAACCATAGTCAGACATCAAGTTAGAGGTAATATTGAAACCAATATTGTACCCAATGAAGTGTACAACAGATCCATGCCTATGGCCACTTCAGCAACCACACATCCAAACCAAATGCACTTTGTCCATGTTCTTTTTTTTATAATTTGCACTATATTTGGGAATCTGATCATAAAATAAAGTCACTTCCAAGATTTATTTTGCTATATTGAGCTCGTTCTTTTATTCCATAATCTTAATATTTTGTAAAAATGAAGACATATTTTTAGTTTTTGGTTTCAATAATTTTATCATATAAATGTGCATGAAATATGTTTTCCAGTTATTGTGGTAATTGGTATTTTTGAAAAAATCATTTTAAGGTGTTTGAAGATTGAAAAAAACATATTAGACTTCTGGTTTAAATTAATTTTAACTAAATATTTGTAAAATTTTGATTAAATAAGTTTGTAATCAATGTTTAAATGTCTGAGGAAATGTAATTTGTTAATTGATTTCTTAGCTTTGTAGCCAGCATTAAATTTGCAGGAAATATTATTTAATGAATTTATACATTTATGTAATTTTGCCTGAGATAAAATACAACAAGAGTGAAGCTCTTCTCCACGCACTAAAGATTCCAGGAGACCATCAGATTGCAGATCAGGGCTCTCTCCATCATACCACACTGCCCTGGAAAGGTTTACATCCTCTTTAAAGCCTCTCTGAGCTGCTGGCTCCAGATCAAGGAGGAATAGGCTTACCTTATGGGGTTGTCCATCCTAGACACTGTGAGGAAGGCAGCAAGGTTGGCTGTGTAAGAGGAGCACACAATGAGCGTGAAGAGCCACCAGCTGCCCATCACGATGCGCATGGCCACGGAGTTCACGGAAGATTCACCACCTGCGGGAGGCAGACAAAGTGGATTGGCCAGTGGCTTCTGGTCTCCCTCTCATCCCCAGGGAGGTGCTCTGCCCTGCAGTCAGGCACACAGGCTATCACTGGTGATGGGCTGGGAACCAGGGAGGTGACTGCCAGCTGGCTCTGGGCATCTGTGCCAATTCTGGGATAAGATCCTAAAACCATGGATCTTGGACAGGGGCAGAGGACCACAAAATATGGAAAAGTTAGGATTGGGCTTCTAGTGGTGTGGAGTTCATCAAAACACCAAGGGTGGGGGTCTGAATATGAAAATCTTTCAGTTAGGAGATTCTACCTCACAGTGGTAAGAACTTCTAGGGCTGAAGCCTTATGTAAGATCCCTTTCCAATTTCAAATTCATATATAGCAGACTCGGGAATTCTGTAAATATAGAAATACCTCCTACGTGGAGGGCTCCCTGGCTTTTCTTTTAAACTTCAGAAATGGGATGTCCCATATCACTTTTATTAGTATTCAGCCCTCTCTAGATGGCTTTTCTTCCCCCAGAATTTTCAGAAATCATGGCATGAAACTTTTAGTTAGAAGTTTAGCCTCTTTGAGGCCAATTATTTCTCCTTGGTCTCTAAAGTGTTAGGAGAAGACAGCTTCCCACTGCTTATCTCCTTACATAACCTCACAAAGCATTTGCCATGGTGCAAACAGGACCAACACTCACATTAGAAACTTTGCAATTTGTTGCTCCAGTCACAATGGCACAATCCTATAACTCACTACTGGATAGAAGTGCCATTCAGACCCCCCAGAGGTAGGAGAATTTGTACCTCAAGAATGGCTGGAGTACTGCTTATATGATTGCAACACAATTGGGATTTTTTTCTTCCCATTAAGTCATAAAATTTAAGCAAGATTCACAGTTTCATTGACAACCTCATGTGCATAGCAATTAATGTAGGAGGGGATAAAAGTGCAAAGCAGAACTCCAAAGTTAATTTTATCTAAAGTGGAGAATCAGGAATTGAAGTTGAGTTCCTTATTGTTGTTTCATTTAATTTATCTCTGATATTATTCAGGGAAGTTGGGTGCAACATGATATTTGTACTGTCCTAGAGATTAAGTAAAATTGCATTTGAAATGACTTTGGTAAAATGCACCTGAGAACTTTGCCAATGGATAAGTTCTTCCAAGCTCTTAGAGCTATTCAAGGATCAGGGAACCAGAAAGGTACCTTGCTGTACGAAGGCTCCGTAGACAATCCAGATGGCACTGTGCAGAGTAGCAGAAGCTGATGGCCTGGGCTGGGCAGCACTCTGAGCCCTCACAGCCTGTATCCTGTTCAACACAAATATCAGCACACCAACCACGGGGATGGCTGCTGCAATGCAGGCCCACACAGCAAAATCGAATGGAGCAAAGAGGGAGAAGATGCTGATTTTCTCCTCAGGTTTCTTGATTAGAATTCCCACCGAATAGTCCATGTACCGCTTGCTGAAGTCCACAACGCTCTCCCTTTCTGGGGTGATGGTGATGGCAGAGATGGCCAAGTCTGCTCTCTGAAAGGCAAAGCCATCTCATCAGACGGCAGTCCTCAGCTTACTGTTGGGTTCTGCCCTGGGTCAAGGTCCACCTTCTGCCCTTTGAACTGCTCTGTTCAGAGGAATGGATTTGACAGCTGGCGCCCTAAGAGTCCGAATATTGTAAGGAAAATCCAACACTAAGTTGTCTGTTACTATTTCCTTCACCTTACAAGTTGCTCTCTTCTAAAAACTTCAGGAAACGGCTTCTACAGAAAAGAGCCGAGTAAAGCATCTTCATTTCTCTATGAATTATAGTTTATCTTCACTTTCTTGTTGTTTTCCTACCAAACTTTAGCTATCTTCTTTTTATTTTCCCTGTGTTTCCCTCTACCCTTCACCAAGAAGGCCCTTCTGTCATCTTCTAAGCCTGTCTGCATCCTCCCTACATGTTGAGACCAGAGGCACACTCCATTTCTTCATTACATCCCTCAGACTCTATTACCCCACATTGATCTCTTTTCTAAAACACTTCAGAAGTTACATGGTGAGCTCTACAACTACATTAGACTTCATTAACATATTAGCCACTGAGTGTTTTATAGGTAGACTTTATGCCAGAGAGTAAAATACTGAAAGAATAAAGGGCTCATCTACTTACTTCTATCTTCCCCCACCCTTAATTCATGGCTTGCAGACCCACAGGTTGATTCTTCCATGATAAAGCCATGGTGTGAAGAATCTCTATGGACGTTCCCTACTGTGACCTCAAAATTATCTCCCAAGATGTTTGCCTTCCAAAATGGGCTTCCATTTCAAAAACAGACAGAAACCCCATTAAGATGGATCCAGACTGTGAGGATGAAGCTGCCAAGTTTGGGGCAATTACAAGCTTCATGTCTGGATGGGTGGATGCCAGGTGACAATGGGGTCTAGAGTCCTCCTTTAGTCACAAGAGCACTGAAAGGCAGTCATCATAATGATCTGGGCTCTTGGCCCTCCAAGTGGGAGGCATCAGCAGAACCAGTTTCTTTTAGAATGACCAATAGTGACAACTGATTCAACCTCCATGCTCCAGTTGGGGAAACACACGTGGAAGGATTTTTTTAAGGTTTAATATGTGGGCTAGGGACAGATATACTCATGTCCTAAATTGAAATCTAATACTATACCTTGAGTTAAGACAAAACATAGAGGTGACCCTATCAACACCCTCCTCTTAACACTTGTCACACTGGCATCTCTGGTTCTTGCCTCTCTTCTAAAAATCCCAACACCCAGGGACTATTTTTAGGATTAGGAAAGTTTGGAGCATATTTAAGGGCTTAAAAAGAAATTTAGTGGAGCAGGATAGGCTTATAACACAGAATGAAGGTAAACTAATTTATGAAAAAAGGTTCGAAGGAGGCACAAAGGAATCAACTCATGACACAGGTGGAGGGGTTGTCCTGTGACAGTGGGAGAGACTGACAGGGGACAGGGGACACTCCCCTCTGTGGGAGATGGCAGGTGCCTGCAGATGTAAATTTCATAGGCATTAGAAGTACAATTTTATACCCCGAAGTCTCAGTTTATTTCCCCAATATAGAAGTGCAATCATTTTTTTTTTTTCAGTTGGGAAGGATAGAAATTCTTAGGTAGCTCAAGAAGAAAGGTAAACTTTTTAAACAGTCTCTGAGAAACATAGCCAAGGAGCCCAACAGAGGACAAGTTAAAAGATTCTGGCAGTACTGAAGGGCCCAGCTGATTCTGGAGACCACACAGGGTTTCTACAGCAATCTGGACAGATTCGTAATTTCCTTCTCTAACTGAGTGCGGCAACCGGGATTTCAGAGTGAAGAGGATAGATAATAGAATCCATTCAGGCTTAGGGTGCAAGAAAAAAGTCGAGAACAGAGGGAGTCACAAGGGATGAAGGGAGGAGGGATTTATCAGAAAGGCACAGAAGCCGCAGAGAAGGATGGACCTCAAATACACACACTACGTGGAAAGAACCAGACACAAAAGACCACATCTTGTATGACATAAAAGACCACATCTTGTATACAAAATGTTCACTGAAGCAACTCTATAAGATACAAAGTAGATTAATGGTTGCCTAGGGCTGGGGGTGGGAATGGCATTAACTATAAGTAGGTAAGAAAGATCTCAATGGGTTGACAGAAGTATTCTAAAACTAGATTATAATGAAGGTTGCACAACCTAGTACCTTTACGAAAAATCATTGAGTTGTATATCTAAAATGGGTAAATTTTATAGTATGTGAATTTATCACAGTAAAGCTGTTTCTTAAAAAGATTAATAGAAATCAGACAAATGACAAGCCTAATGTCATTTAAATCTAGTGCCTTTACGGATTTAAAAAGCAAAGGGCCTTTGCTGTCAGAATAAAGGTTCAAAAGAGTCAGAAGGACAACTTGTTATGGTCATGCAGTGGGCTAGTGATGGTGACATGTAAGATGCTAACAAGATGCATGGGGGTGAACAATGGAGTGGAGCACAGCAAAGCGCCCTGGAGGCGAAGATGTCAAAGTACTGGGAGTCCAGAGTTGTCTACAGGGATGTCAGAAGTTGTCAGAATGGCGGCAGGAGGAATAATGGAGATGGAGGACTTGAGACAGATGCCATCATGATCAGTGATCATGGGGAAACGACCCAGGGTCATGAGATGACAAGAAGGGGGACATGGTAAGTTGGCCTCATGCCATGAGTTTCAATGAGGATGCAGTTTCTATGGGAGGGAAGAAAAGTATGATTTAAATGAGCACGAGGACCTGCGGGATACATCCACACATAGCAATGTAGACACACACATGTGTATGCATATCCTACTTGTGGTCTATGAGGGATGGGAGAATGAGCACTCACCAGTACCCCTGGTGGGAACTAGGTTTCTGCTTCACCCTAAATGTGGGGTCGTTCCCTGAAGGGTGTGCTACAGAGTAGACACAGTGGATGATAGACTTCAAATGAATGACAGAAGTGGGCAGGGAGGTAACACAGAGTGTCAGGGATGAAGAGATACAAGAGCAGAAATGGATGTAGCAGGGGATTCGAGGACAAAAGAGCCTTTGTGTGTGGAGAATGGTAACTGTGGTCTGTTTAGCTGGTCCTAAGGTTTCCACGGTGCAATTGGTCAAGTTTAGATATTACCCCAGAGGAAGACTAGGGTGCCCCTCCCCCTGGATCTGCTGTGGGGACCTACCTTGCTGATGAGCTCCCCGATCATCCCGTTCCAGGAGGTGTTATGGAGCTGGTGACCATACCTGCCATCAGGGGCTTGATAAATCTCATATTTGAAGCCCAGAGCCTTGGCCAGTGCATCCAGGACATCTATGGAGAACCCTTTGTAGCGCTTAGGCTGTCCTAGGATGTTCTCAGCCACCATCACGAAAGGCTCTTCCTGAGGACAACAGAATGAAGGTTCTCCAATTAAATAACAGGTTCATTAACACTCATCTCGAGTGTATTGTTAGAGAGAAAGATCTGGTTAGAACATTTGCAGTTCCCCAATTTAGGACTGGAGGCTCAACTTACTTGCCCTTTTCTAAAAGCCGTGTATGGACACTCAAGGAACAGTGCACAGGATGATCACTCCAATCAGTAGGTCCATGCAGAGGAGTGGAGATTCATTTGTCCTATGTTATGTTATCCCGGGCTCTGCTCCAACCCCTACTTCCCTAAATAATATGGTTTGTTTTCCTTCCTCCATTTGTAACATCCATGCAGAGTTAGGACCGTGTCCTTAGAATATGCCAAAATTATATGAGGCCCACATAAGAAACATGAAACTTCTCATCCAGGATAATAAGTGGTGATAAAGTTCTGTGACATTAGGTTGAGAGAAAAAGCATTATGTCTACTGGCAATACTAGAAAGTGGATATGGATTAACTGACCAAGGCCAGACCAGAAGCCAAAGGGTAAGATAGAATTCAAACCCAGAGTTCCAAGTTCAAAGCCATGCCATGCTCACACCTGCACATGTTGTGCTATGCCACATGTGAGTGAGGTGGTCATCTGAAAAATGCCTCAGCGTTCACCACCATTCCCCTTCCTTCTTGTGTGAAACTGAACAAGGGGCCTTTGGCAAACAGTTCCAGGGAGTATAACTCATTAATTTAGTTGTGTTGGGAAATAGGGTGTAAAGCTTGTTTGTGGTGTGCAAACAGGGAATGCACAAATACTGCTGCCAAAGATTTCTGAGCCAAGGGAATGCTAGTGTCTGCTGGGACAGAAGGGACATTTGGGCATGTGTGACCCAGTCAATAAGAGGCAAATCTATAACGTCTCCTGCAATTTTTATAAAAACGTGAAAAAAGCAATTGAAAGGAAGATGTTTTTAAGGTCTCTTACAAATGCAAAAGTCTATGATTCCATGATACCCATGCAGAAAAGTTGCAACTACCAAATGGTCTTCATTCTGAATTTGTGTCACATGAGCCCATCTGTAGTGTTGGGTGCTAGAACAATGTCCTCCTCCACCATCTATCTTGGGGTTCTGGCTACCAGAACAGCTCTCCTAAGGACCAGTAGTGGGTCAAGATCCAGTTTACATCCAAGAACAAGGGGAGCAGCTGGGCCCCCTCTGGTCCTCAGAGGAGGCTATGGAGGAGAAGTCCTTTTCTAGAGCAGCTCAGGGACTTCCTATGGAAAGCACAGAGGTCCTGGGGCAGAAACATCAATCTCACTCTTCCTTTCATTATTCACACAATTAGTTAAATGAAAGGCCTTATGAAAGCTCACAACACTCCTCAAGATTCTCTTCTCCCAAAACCCAGCATTAGACAGAAAGCAGCCTCTGATTCAACAGCCTGGATGGTGTAGCTCCCAGAATGTCCCCATGATCCTACCAAGACAGTCACCACTTTGAGAGTCAATCCTTGGAGGCGGCTGCCCATGGGCCTCTCTTGCAAGCTGCCATTCAAGCCCTTCTCTGAGTCCCACGTCGCCAACTGTGAAGGAAAAATAAAGATTATGAGGGATGGAACTGACACCTATGCACACCTTAGGACCTCACCTCCTACACTGGGAGCCTGAATTAGGCAGGTAGGGTAACAGCAGTCCCCTGGAGTTCCCAGAGACCCAGAGCCATTTTAAAACCCTAAAGAGAATAGACATATGGTAAACAGAGTTACATGTCCTCCTTCAGCTCGCCTGGATCTCTAGAGCTCAGCACAGACCTAAAATGAAACCAACTGGTGAGAACTTGTCTCTAAAACATATGTTTATGCCCAGTTTTATTCTGTTCACCCACAGAGGCCATGTCACTGTGATGCCTACAAAATACCCTCTTTGTTTAATTATTCCTTTGGCTTGCCCAGGCCACAAGGCCCTTGAGTTCAGCCATTGCTCCCTCCATGGGTAGGATGAGGCTCAGCAGTAAAGCAAGTAGCAAACACTCAAGTGCTTGCTTTGCACACCGGTGCCTATGGCAAGCAGGGTCAAGAGCTTCCTGCCTGTTTTCACTGTGGTGTCAGCTGCTTCATTTTCCTTGATAGGCAGGTAGAGGCTAATGGCAGGGTAAATGTGCTTAGGAGAATCTGCTACATTCTCCTAAGCCTGCAGAGTGTATCCAGTAGCCAGATGCATCTCTGACAGTCATCCTAAAGTGGTCACGGAGAACCTACCTTGGCTCAGAAACAATGAGGAGACACAGTTGTTCATGAGACTGCTTCCCCTCCCTGCATCCTTGCAGGGTCTATACAATGACAAAATTTTGTCTGGGAAATGATTCTCAACTATTAATGGGGAAGACATAACAAAATGTAGGTACCCAGCCCCATCTCAAGTCAACTAAATCAGAATCTCAGGGCCTGAGCATAGGAAGTTAATGCCTCCCAAATGCTCCTGATATTGCAGCCAAGGTTGAAAACCCCTGCTCTTCTAGGTCACTGGCCCTCAAACTTGGCTGCATATTAGTATCTCTTCAGGGGGGCTTTATAATAAAATGTACTGAAAGTTGGGTCCTACCCCCAGAGACTCTTATGTAATTGGTCTGTAGTGCACTAGAGATGAATATTTTAGCTCCCCAGGTGATTCTAATGCATAGCCAGAATTGTGAACCACTGTTGTTGATTAAAACCATGATACTCAAACTATGATATCCACACAAATCGCGCAGGGATTTTCTATGCACTTTCTGATTCTGGCGCCTGAGATTATTCATGTCTAACAAGCTCCCAGGTGATGCTGCTGCTGCTGCTGCTAATCCATGGACCACCATTTAAATAGCAGGGGGCTAAAGGGTCAAACTGTCACAGGCAGTACATACTGTTGTCAGGGAAAAATCCATAAGATCCCCTAGTTAAACTGAAGAGAAGAAGAACCCCAGTGGAAAAGTGCTACTGGGAGCCCTAAAGGAACCACCAACTGTTCCACTTAAGAATGCTTCTACTCTCTCAGCATTTCCCATGGCTCTGACATCTGCAGCAGGGTCTGCACACTGAGCCCTGACTATAAGACCATAGAACCTGAGGGGCCATTCCTCCTGGAAGAGATAACAACTCTGAGATATAAAGTAAAACCATCAGAATAAGAGATGGAGTTCTAGAGTCAGTTTTACAGAAACCTGGAATTTCCTGTTGTCACCTTGGACATGATGCCCAACAAGACCCACTCCATCCTAAATAATAGGATGCCTTGGCGTGATGAATAAATAAATTAGTAAAAAACATGGCCATGTACCCTGAAGAACCACCCACCACCACCACCACTACTAATTAATTTGGGGGCATTGAGATAAAGAACAAGTGAAGATCCACCCAAAATTCTGCTTAAAGGTCTTGAAGATACCAGCATACCACACTTTGGATAATGATACAGTTTAAAAAAAAAAAGCAAAAATCATGGCTATTTCTCCATTGGATCTTAAGAAATAGGCTGGGAGCTGTGGCTTATGCCTGCAATCCCAGCACTTTGGGAGGCCAAGGCGGGTGGATCACTTGAGTCCAGGAATTCAAAATCAGTCTGGGCAATATGGTGAAATACTGCCTCTATAAAAAATAAAAATAAATTAGCCAGGTGTGGTGGCATACACCTGTAGTCCCAGCTACTTGGGAGGTTGAGGTAGGAGGTTCAATTGAGACCAGGAGGTCAAGACTGCAGAGAGCCGTAATTGTGCCACTGCATTCCAGCCTGGGCAACAGAGTGAGATCCTGCCAAAGAAAGAAGGAAGCAAGGAAGGAAAGAAGGAAGGAAGGAAGGAAGGAAGGAAGGAAGGAAGGAAGGAAGGAAGGGAAAGAAATACAGAAAGAAAGAGGGGGGAGATTGAGAGAGGAAAGGAAAGGAAAGGAAAGGAAAGGAAAGGAAAGGAAAGGAAAGGAAAGAAAAAAGGAAAGGAAGAAATTGCATGAAGATGCAGAATCAATTCCTACAGCTGGATTAAAATGCTTGTCAGAGGGAAGAGAACAAATTCAGACAAATGGGGCCAAGGGGTTGATTGCCTCTATTTTTTGGATGTTCTACCACGGACTCACTGGGGCAGGAGTGGATATTTATTTGGGGTGCCTGCATCTGTACTACCTTAACTGCTTAGCCCAGGTGCTGGAGCTGCTTAGCCCTGATGTGTATGCTGCTACTTCTCCTGGGTGTGGGTGGAGTTGTAGAGGTCTTCTTGACCATCCCAATGGCTCATAGAGTCATAACAGAAGCCATCTTGTCCTAATGATGATGCAACCATTTCAGACACTCCATACTCTATCTTGCACCAGGACCCTTTTGCCTAACATCTGCTGCCAAACCTGCCTGGCATGGTGAAAGGGCATCTTAATTCTCTACTGTGTTGGCTTGAGTGAGTGTTTGGAATGGGGCTCTGTGCATCTTGATCAAGAAGGCCTTCTCTGTCTTTCTACTGGGATTGTAATCAGAAATTAGAATGGAGGATGGAGGCAGGAAGAAACAGTTGGGATGAAGCCCTGAACATCATTCTCTACTTCTGGCCCACTGCTTGGCTCTAGGAGGCACCACCTCAGTCCCCCTAGATCTTTGCAACAGCTTTCTCATTGGTTTCATTACTCTCAACCTCTCTCTCTTACAGCTCATCCTTCAATAGGCAAGTGGGTACCCTTACAACAAATAAACTCAAATATGAACTATATTAATTAAACTATTCTAATGAATTCCTTTTTCCTACAGAATAAATCCTAAGACTTTTAAACTTGGCCTAAAAGAAAAGCCTTCCTCATCCAGAGCCAATCTTGACTCTCAACCTCACTTTAGTTTATGTAGTTACAGTATACTACAATCCCCAAAATTCCTCCTCCTTTCTCAGGCACACCACATTCCCTCCTGATATTTGTATCTGGTTTCCTTCTGCCTGGAATGCCCTTTCTCTTCTTCTGGGTCTGGTAAACTCTTACTTGTTTGTTGAAATGAGATTTCACTTTAGAATAGTTTTAGATTTACAGAAAAGTTGTAGATGCTGTGCAGAGAATGTCAATAGATCGATACCCAGTTTTCCCATTAAGATATAACATTAGAATGACACATTTATCACAACTAATGAATGTTCAGCCTAATATCCATGATTTATGCAAATCTGCAATAGAAATGAAATAGAAGGATCTCCAGTTCCTTCTACTCTTGGCCTAAGTCAGTGAGTCAGCTGTGGCATTGGGGTTTCTTGCCATGTTCTCTGGGGTCAAAACCCTGTCTTCATAAGCTGTCTAGAGCCTCAGGCTCCTGGGCAGGACCTGGCCTTTCTCATTCCCATCTCAGGGTCTCCAACCTTGCCTCGAATTCCAGGCTGTCCTCTCCAACATTAACTTCTATAACTGGGAACTTGGAGGTGTGAACTTAGCAGACATTCATGAGTCAGTAGACTTATGTTCTAGTTGTTGTCACCACTTATGTGAGTGACCTCAGACAGCACTTGACAGCACAGTGCTTGAAACATAGAAAGAGTCAACAAATATTTTTTCAATAAAGTACACTTTACTGAGATTCCATCATTTTCTTTTCTTTTCTTTTTTTTAGACAGGATCTCACTCTGTTGTCCAGGATGGAATGCAGTGGTATGATCATGGCTCACTGCATCCTCTGCCTCCTGGGCTTAAGTGATCCTCCCACCTCAGCCTTCCAAGTAGCTGGGACTACAGGAGTGCACCACTACATCCTGAAAATTTTTCTGTATTTTTTGTAGAGATGAGGTTGTGCCATGTTGCCCAGGCTGGTCTCAAACTTCTGGGCTCAAGAGATCCACTGACCTCAGCCTCCCAAAATGTTGGGATTACAGGCATGAGTCACTGTGCCCAGCCGATTCTATTTTCTTATCTATGAAATGGGAAATAAAAATCTTCCTTGCCTACCAAATTGAGGGGCTGTTCAAAGAAGAAAACAACTTTGAAATAGTCTATTATAAAATAGCTTAATTAAAAATCACAAAGTAAAGAACCAGGATATAAGACTGTATACAATATGGCCTCAATTATGTTTTTTTTTAAAGCAGTGGTAAAAATGGGAGAAGATACATTAAAATGTGATACGTGGATATATGTGTTACACATAGGTGATGGAATTATAAGTAATCATTATCCTTCTTTATCCTCTTCCTGATTTTAACAGGATTTTCACGAATAGGAAGTAAAATAAGCTTTTGATAAAAATAACTAGCATAGATGATTGAGCAATATCCTATCACATGCACTTGTACGACTGAAAACTGCATGATGGAGGAGCAACTGAAGTCAAATTACCTGTCAATATGTCAAGGCCAATCTGAGAGTCAGAACCCAATAAATCAGTGCTTTGGCTCTAAGGAATTTTGGTCTAGGGGTGCCTCATCATGAAGGGGCATATGGCTAGTTTGACCAGCACAGCTTCTCATATTCTAGGATCTCTCCAAGATGGTGGGAGCTCTGTAAACTGTTGGGTTGGGAGATAGGAAGTGGCCACAGCTGAGGCCCAGATCCATGAAGATAAGCAATCCAAGTAATCTTTCTCCACTGAGAAAGAG